TTTATGATCTTAGAGAGGCAGCACTATCATCAGTTGCCATTCCAGTGTCTGAAAATGTCAGAGGCAACTATGTTTTAATTTTTTTTTTTTTTTTGGAGTAGGTCCTTGGAAAGTCCATTCTCTCAACTAGATTTGTGTTTAACTTAAAGCTAGGCTCCATTTAAAGGTACCTCTTTTGACTTTGTCACTCAGACATGGATGGAGATGTGACTTCATAAATTCTGCAGTGAGTCAAGTGTCATCCACCAGCGGATACTGTTCGCACCACATACACCCTTATTCCTCTAGCCAGATAGCTCATCCCCCTGAGTGCTTCTGATCCAGCACTTAGTAGGCGCTTCATAATTGTACCTGAATGTGACCATTTTCAATGTGAATCTCCTTAAAAGAAGGGGAAAACTAAGCCCAACTTCCAGCGCTGTGTGCCAAAGGAACTTTTAAGAAATCCTATTAGCTAAACCAACAGTGGTGACTTCCCGTCAGAGCAGGAGGTAAGAGGCACTTCCCGGCATTGACGACCTATTTGGTTTGGTCAGGTTGTTTACACGGCACCCTCATGAAGGGAGCGATAAAATAATGTATGAAATTCCTTTCTCAACCAGAGCAGTGTCCTGGCTGTCAGCTGTTAGTAGAAGGTTCTGTCAGTGACAACTTCATAACTTTGAGATATTTCAAAAGTGCTTCTTCAAGTGCTTTCAAGTGCCTTAGAAACAAGTTACAGTTGATGGAGAGTCAGTCTCTCCTTTCTTCTTAATCCTCAGTCATTAAGAGTTCAACTCAAGGAATAAACAGATTTTAGGAGATTTTAAACCCCAGTTTTTGATGATCTTTGATGTTGGTTTGCTTCTTTTTGTGCTTTATCTCCTAAGAAAATGGCTGTTGAGGCTCCCAGACAGGCTGTGTTCTCTCGCATGGGAGTGGCCCCCCGCCCTCATCTGACTCTTGGGATCCTCACTTGCTATCAAAGTCAAATTTCCTGGGCTAAAATTTCCTTTCTCACCCTGTATGAAAGGGCTGGAAAATATATTTGCTTCCCCAAGTCTCCTGGGTATGTCAACTCTTTCTTAAAGAACTGTTGGGAAGAACAGGTACTACATTGTGGGTTTCATACAGGGAATACCTAATGGCTAGGTCCTGCCTCTTTGGTGATTTCTCCCTCAAACGGCTGTGGGAAGAGGGATGTATGGGCCAACACTTTCTGCTCATCGCTTACTCAATGCGCATTAAAATCCATGTGGTCTCTCCAGTCCAGCTTTGACCTTCTGATCCATTTAGCAGGAAAATACTCTGACCAATACTTAGACCAATAGTAAGTATTAGCCATCAGTACAGGCGAGTATTAGTTAGTATTGTGTGCTTGCCTTATTTGGGGAAAATTTTGAGATTTGTGAGGCAACATCAGATAAGATTTTTTAAAAAACATGGTCTAAGTACTTCTGTTACACTAAATATTTAATATAATCATGCCGATCCTTTGTTTAGAACCCATTAGCAGTTTGTCATTGTATTTGGAATTCAATTTAAACTTTGTGCCAATGGTCCCCACAGCCCTAACAATCTGGCTTTTTCCCTAACTCTGAGGAAATCTTAAAATACAACAACCTGCATATATTTAAAATAACATGCACATATTTAAAATAAACAACTTGAATTAATGAATAAAGAACATACCCATCTTTAAAGTTTTGTTATGCCCCTTTTGAAATCCATATCTCCTTTCACACCCATTGCAACCATTCAACCATTTCACACTCAAGCAACCATTGATTTGCTTTCTAATCACTATATATTAATTTATACTTCCCAGAATTTTATATAAATATATGTACTTCTTTCCTGCCTTGTTTGACAGGGCATAATGATTTTGAAATTCATCCATGCTGTTGCATATATCAATAGTGTGTTCCTTTTTACTGCTTTTTTGTTAAATTATCATTTATATAATATTTTATTTTATGGATATACCATTAATTGTTTATCCATTCACCTGTTGATAGACATTTGGATAGTTTCCAGTTTTTGGTAATTACGAAACTTAATTAAAATATTTATTTTAAAAGGAAAGCAAAAAGAAAGTTACTACTGAAAATATAAAATAAATATTATTTGCCAGAAACAGAAGCTCCCCATAGAAATGAAGACAAAACTAATAAAGGAGTTGTACAAGTTAAAATCAACAGTGGGGCATAAACCATGCTGGGGAACCCTCTCCCTGCACGAATCAGATGGAACTCTTTTTTAGACCCTACCCCGTGGATCAATGTAAGACAATTAATAGTTATGTTCCACAGTGTATAGTTAAAAACAGTAAGTCTGGCAGATGATATGAGAGAATGTGGTGCTGTAATGTTGAGAGATGCTATTTAGTTACTCACTCATTGAGTAAAAAAATTAAATTATCAGCAACTCTACCCCAGGGTCACTGGGGATAACGGGGATCATACAGATGTGGTTTCTGTGGTTCATAGCTTATTTATGGTCTAAGCAGTAGGGACTGACAACAAGGTGAACCTTGAAGTGTGACAGCACTGTGTTAGCTCATTTTCTGGTGGCCGGAGGGAATATAGCAGGGATACTCTGACTGTGCCCATAGGAGACACCCATGTTTAAATGACCCAAAGGGTAATCAAGAGCTAGACAGGGGAGCAGAGTGAAAAGTGGGCAATGAAACAGAGATGCAGGTTCCAGGGAGAGACACTGATAAGCCAAAAAACAGTCTGGTAGGCCTGCAATCTCAGCACAGTGAGGCACGGTCAGGAGTTCTGGGTCAAAGCAGTGGAGAATTCATGCCAGTCTTTGTTTCTAACACTCTTCATCGCGTCACTAACTTCTCCCTGCCCAGGTGGTAACTAAGGTGATGTAAATACTGGTAGACTCATGGTCTACGACAGTTTTAGGAAGAAATTGTATTTGACTTCTGCCTCGTTTATGTTAAGTGGTTTACTTTAGAGAGCTAATATCGTTAGCCTATATAAAAAGAACCTGGCCCTTCCAAACTCAACCAAGCCCATGACAATCAACTTCTAACTTAATTGAAGTCAGAGAGAGAGAGAGAGAGAGAGAGAGAGAGAGAGAGAGAGAGAGAGTGGGGGGGCGGGGGGGGGGGTTAAATAAATGAAGGAAAAGCTCAGAACATCACGCACAGACCCAGAAAGTCTGAGGGATCAAAGCCATGATGGCAGGGAACAGTTAATGAGAAGAGATTTGGGGACTCAGATATGTTCTACCCAATATCCATCCCTTCCTTTTTCCTTGTTTACAAGACTCCAGTTGTATTCAGGGGTCCACTCTCCTCCTCACACGTATGGACTTCAGAGGAGAGTGACCCCACCCCTAGCCTGGAGACGGATCTGACTGGACTAAGTCAGTCCCACAGCCTAATGCCACTTGCCAATGACAGGTTTGGGCATGAGCATGTGACACAACTCTGGCCACAGAGACAATAGGGGAAGTGTGCTGGGGTAGCTTTTGGCAAAGCTTTTCTTTCTCTTACAGAGGACTGCGCAAAAGGGTTGGTTTCTCCCTCTTCTGGATTCTGCTGTCATTGGATATGACTACTGAACTGCTGTGACCACCCTGTGACCATGGGGAATGGGGAGATGAGATTGCAGCCATACCAGATCAGGGAACACTTGGGGGGCGGCAGAGCACAGAGCTGAAAGGTGCAAGACCCTTAGTGACTTCCCCGAGCCTCAGAATCACTCCTCTCTGGAGCTGCCTACTTGAGAAGTGCTCAGTTTCCTCATGTCCTCAGACATTTTGAGTTGGGGTTTCTTGGGCAAGAAGCTCCGTAACTAAAGAGTCAATTCATTCATTCAGTCAGTCAGTCATTCAATACCTACTTTCTGGGTGGTGACTCCGTACTGGGTAAAGCATTATACTAAGAGATAAAGACAGAAAATTTAAAAATGAAGTTAGAGATGGTTATGTACCTGGTTTTGCTTGATGAAATGTGAGCAGAAAATGGCATGTGTTACTTCTGGAAAGGAACTTTAAAAACCAATCCGGGATTTGTCATGCTTCCTTTTGTCTGTCATGATGCTGAGTAATTAGATATTGAGAAAGAACTTCCTTCCATTCATCTGCCTCTCCAGCGACCAGACTGAGCAAAATCCTACCCCTTTTTTCCCACATTGGATGTGCAAGGAGATTAAAAAAAATGTTGTTTTAAATCATCATGAATTTGAGGTTGTTTATCATCATGCACAGCTACCTGTCCCAGCTGACAAGCATGGGAAGTGCTTAGCACAGGCCTGGTGTTCAGGGCTCAAAAGCCTGCCTGCTGCTGATGTTGCTGCTGTTGTTTTGCTACTTAGGAGTGCCCACCTAGAGTAGTGAATTAGTAAGGCCAGCACATACCTGGAAATGTACTCGGGCTGTGACTGTCTAAAACCCAGCCATTTATAGGCTTATCAAGTGGAGAGGGTGTCAGTTAACCATGAAATGCATGATTGTACTCAGAGTTCAGTCTCCTAGACCTAAGCACCTTAAAATTCCCCCCAAACAAGATATCTTTAAACAATGACAAATATAAAGTTTTGCTTTTAATATCATAAAATTAATTGTAGCAAGATCAATTAGAAATCTGACTTCCCTACAGTTAAAAGAAAAAGAGACCTGAGAGAGAATGGATGGAATACTGAACACATAATGTTATTAAGGCTATTTGCAAAAGTACAGTGTCCAGTTCAGCAGAGTCCCGTAGTACTGAGCCCCGCTGCCGCGCCGGAGGCAGGGCGCGGCGCTCTCCTCCCACAGGAATCTTGGTCTTTAGAGATTGTCCTGGGAAGAGGAACCAGGGTGGCTAGAGTTAAGAAGCTGTCCCTAGAAAGTCCTCAGCAGAGACAGGAAGGTGTTTCGTCAAGGAGGGGGCGGGGGGTCCACATTCGCTGTCTTAAAATGCTTAAAGAGAAGCCCACTTCCTCTGAATGGGTGCAGAAAGTCAAACCAGGCTCAAAGCTGGATTCTCAGGGACACTGAGCTCAGCTCAACACGGAAAGGCGTGAGAGGGAGTGGCCGCCGCGGCGCCAGGCGGCGCCCCCGACCCCTGCCCGGAGCGGGGGCGGGAGTGGGACCGCCTCCGGCCCGGGATGCGGCAACTCGGCAACTCGGCAACTCGCGCACCTCGCGCACCTCTCCGCAGTAGGCTGGTGGCTCCTGAGCCAGGCAGGTGGCTCCGTCCGCAGGAGAACTGTGGTGCCCTAGGGTGTGAAACCGGGCAAACTGTGGGCGGCCGCGCCTGTGGGAGACTTTGCCACTCGTCCACCAGGACCTAGAGAGAAGAACCAGAGGCTCCCGATTCCTGTCCCGTACACCACCATTTCAGATACTCTGCACGGACGCGCTTGGGGGTCCCACTGACTTCAGGAAGGACGCGTGCCGCTCTCTTACCGCCAACTCGGCGGCAACTGCTGTTTGCCGCGGTGACCCTTCGCCCGTGACCCTGCGGAGCCTGGAGCGCCCCGGGAATGGCGTGGAAAGGACGCGGAGCCGGTGGGGCAGCGCGGTGTCCGCGGAGGAGCTGTCCCCGCGGCAGCTGTCCCCGGAGGCGGCGCGTCTGGCGAAGGCCTGGCAGGAGCTCGGCGAGACAGGTTGGTACTGGGGAAGTATGACTGTTTCTGAAGCCAAGGAGAAATTACAAGAGGCACCAGAAGGAACTTTCTTGATTAGAGATAGTTCGCATTCAGACTTCCTACTGACAATATCTGTGAAAACATCAGCTGGACCAACTAATCTGCGAATCGAATATCAAGATGGGAAATTCAGACTGGACTCTATCGTGTGTGTGAAGTCCCAGCTTAAACAGTTTGACAGTGCGGTGCATCTGATCGAGTACTATGTTCAGATGTGTAAGGACAAGCGGGTGGACCCAGAAGCCCACCGGAGTGGCGCCGTTCACCTTTACCTGACCAAACCGCTGTACACTTCAGCACCACCTCTGCAGCATCTCTGCAGACTCTCCATTAACAAGTGCACCAGCGCCGTCTGGGAACTGCCTTTACCGACAAGACTGAAAGATTACTTGGAAGAATATAAATTCCAGATATAAGTGTTTCTCTTTTTCTAAACACGCTTCACGAAGACGATCTCCAAGGACAGCTACGCAGAAGGGAACCAAAACCTGCTCTGGATAACAACACAAAATTCCAGGAAGGACTGAGTCAATCCAACGCAATGTGTGTCGAGGTATCTAAAGTGCCCAAGATATTTTCACCTGGGTACGGCTTCCCTTCCTAAAGCTGAGAACAGTTGATCCTTTTAAGTTAAAAATTAAATGGCCCAAGGAAGGCTGAAGGGCTGAAGGGACATTTTTATCAGAATGCCCTGCCTGTCGGAGGTTCTTGTTGTTTTTTTTTGTTTTGTTTTTTGTTTTTTTTGGTTGAAGGTCCAAGCTCCAGTAGAGAAAGGACCCCATGGAGGAGTACTGAAGAAGGGGAAGGAAATTGGCACAGGCTTTACTTCAATTTTATATGCCTGCTGATCTGAGTCTATTTTGGCCATGTGATATTTTGTATTCTGATGTACCTAGGAGTTTTGTTGATCAGATGTGCTTGTGAGTATTTATCTTCATTTTATGCAATTAACCAAATCAATCCAAAAAGTGACCATGAAATCCTGTATTTATATGTTTACTACATGTATGAACTCTCTCGTGTGAATGAGTGCTGTAAGTAATCCATTTTAAGAGAGACTTACTTCAGAGGTATTTAAAACTGGTGCAAACGAAAAAGATTGTCTTTTCCTTTAAGACTAAAGATAAGAATGTCATGCTATACAGGTGCAACCCAGTTCCTGTTAAATAAAACCATGTAAATATAGACATTTTACCCTTTGAAGTAGCTATGTCCCAACCTGTTGCCATAGATTTTTTTGGAAATGGCTTAAAAATTTCCAAGTTGTCCTTGAATGTCTAACCATGGACATCAGCAGTTGTCTCGTTTGCAAGAACTTTGACTTAATTTTCCTCCAGATCTAGGGGAAAGTCTACCTGTTTTTCAAAGGTTTATTTACCGCTGTTATTATCTGATTAGAATGTATTAAGTTAAAAAAAAAAAACCCCTAAAAATCCTGACTTAAAAAAAAGACATTTGACCTCATAATAATTATTATCTGCCCAACAATAAAAAGGGGTTGATCTTGATACAGTGAACTATCATTTAAAGTGTTTCAAAAGAGGCCCTGGCCAGTGTGCCTCGGGCGGTTGGAGCATTGTCCTCTATACTGCAAGGCTGTGAGTTGGGTTCCTGGTCAGGACATATACCTAGGTTGTGGGTTTGATCCCTGGTCAGGGAGCCTACGAGAGTCAACCAACTGATGTTTCTCTCTCATACTGATGTTCCTCTTTCTCTTCCCCCTTCCTCTGTCTCTAAAAAAAGCAATGAAAAAATGTTCTTGAATGAGGATAAAATATATATATGTGTATATATAGTGTTTCAAAAGAGGATGAATAACCTGTGTGTATGTAGAATTCATTCAGCACTTACTGAGGCTCTATTAATTGCCACATGATCAGCAAGATAAAGATTAATATGATGTGATTCCTGGTCATAGGGTATTTAATGAAAATCTGTGATATATAAACAATAGGTACAAAGATAATTATTTTGCATGGTAATTGATATTGTAGAGTTTGTGCAAACTTTTATAGAGATATTAATTCTGTTTTGAGTAATCAGGAAATACTGCATGGAAGTTATATTTTACTAGGTTTAGAATAATTGCTTGGCATTTGTATTCTAGGGGAGTAAAATATCAATGTGGGGAAACTCGGAGATCTTTAGAGTCCCCACAAATTTACTCTATCCAATAAAGGCAAGGCTAACATAATGGTGATCTAAAGGGAAAAGACACATATAAAATGTGTACATGAACTAAAGGGACCCTCCCATTTCTTTAAAGCAAATAAATAAAGGAGCATTTTGCCTTATTTGAATGGAGAATTTGCCACTCTTGATGTAGCTGCTCAAACACTTCAGGTGGCTTGTAAAATCCTGCAGGAGCAGGGAGAGCTTCTAGACACATCCGATGGTGGGACTTTACTTGTGAGGCTTGTGTCCCTCCAGGTTTTCTTAGAAATGTAACTGCGAAAGATAGATGAGTTTTGGAAAAGGGATCCTTTTTATTTTGCTCTCTGAAAGGATATGGAAGACTGAAGTGGCCAGAAGGGAAAAGAAGCAGGAGGATGAGTGATTGTCCCTAGAACCAGCCATCCCTATAACCAACATCTGAGAAAAAAGAGCAGCACGCCCCTAACCTAAAGCTGGCAATTCCTTTCTTTAGCCCCAATCCTGAGTCAGTACAAAAAGGGTTAAGACCTGGTAATTTTAAAATCTGCCGCCCATGCCGGTCAGGGGTGGCAGTGTGGTAAATTGAGAAGCTGCGGTAAAGCAGTCCTAGGTTCAAGCCTGCAGTCTTCTGCCTCCCAGCTCTGTGGCCTTGGGGGAGTCAGTAAACCTGTCTGAGCCCCAAAGGCTTCATCTGCAAAGGCCATGCAAATGTAGATCGCACAGGGCAGCCGGGAGGCCTGCAGATGACGCAGTGTCTGTATTAGTGTGCTGGCGCAGGAGAAGCCACGCAGCAGGCACTCATCAATTATAACCATCAGTATTATTTTACTCTGAGGAAAAATGCAAGCAAAAAAAAAAAAAAGTTAGGTATTAGTTTGGCTTTATTGGACTTTGGCTTCAAAAATCGATTCGACAAACTTGAGCACTTATCCTGTGCATGGCACTGATTTAGTGGTGGGGACAGAGTGGGCAACGGTACAGTTAAGTCCCTTCTTCCTTCATGGAGGTAAATCCTGAGGGAAAACAGAGATAAGAAATAAGTGAACAAACAAACAGGATACCTTTAGATAAAGATGGGAGCTCTGAAGAAATTTAAAAGAGAAAATGGGCTATGGTGTACTGGTGCCATGCATGGGAACCCTGGCTGAACTTCTGGCATTTGGGGAGAGGTGTCAAGTCCTAAAGGGTGGCATGAAGTGCACACTGAGTGTGTGTCAGGCTGACCCAGTGACTTTATATCCCGCAGGCATACACTTGTAATGTCTTAATGAAGTCAGGTCCCAGACAAATTGATTCATTCATTTCAAAGGGATTCATTTTAGGACCCCCTCACTCCTTTCGGTCTTGGACAAGTTGGATTACTCATGTACAAAGTGTTTTGGCAGAACCTTCAACTGATGTGTATTTTTAGTACTGAGTTCATGTGTAAGAAAAATATGGATGGAGGGGCTGGATGAATAATGGCAGAGGAAAATAAAATTGCAAACTGTGTGTCTCAAGTGTCGGCTCAGTAGCAATGGAATAGAAAGTATTGGGTGATTTATAGACTATGTGAAGCTTAAAAACAAACATAAGCAAAATACCAAATTGCTGGTATTTTGACATTTGTGAGGTTATCAATCATGAAAAAACTTCAACTGACAAAGATAGAAGGAAGGGCCAGAGTTGGGAGCTGGTGGGGTAGGGGAGAGGTTTGGGGTGGGGGTGAGGCAGAGACCAACACTGATATAAAAAGGCAAGTTTTGGGAGAATGCTCTATTTGAACTTAATCACCAAATACATTTTCTGGAAGAGTTTGGAAGAACTTTCCTTCCTAGGCTCAGATGAACAATATAGCCTCTGATTAAATAGAGAAATCATGGTCTATCTTTGAAATTCCAATTTGATTCTGAAAATGCACATTTTGATTTAAAAAAAAAATGGCAAGAAGAGTTTTCAACAACGAAAGTGCCTGATCAACATGATTATAAACACACTTAAAGGGCTCCTGAAAGAAGACGGTGAGCCTTTACCAGCAGCCTTGTCGCAAGAAGTCAGATCTGTTAATTGCATATAGTGTATACACAAACTACTTTTACACATTTCATGTCATCATTCTGAAACTTACACACAGGAATGTCTCCAAGATTTAGTTCAGATTCTTCTCTTTTATCCATAGCTGAGCCCCTGATTCAAGCTAACTTCTCATTTATTTCTTCGATAAACTCTTAAGCCTTAAATCTACCTTATATTTTTAGTTTATGATGCCTTTTTTCCTCTGAAATGCCAACTTCTCAGTCTCCATCCTGACTTCCTTCTACCCTTCAAGGTTTAGCTCAAAGGTCTCTTTTTCACTGAACCCCTTCTTAAGCAGGATTACCCGTACTCTGATACAGTTTCCCATAGCACTTTATATACATCTTTATGATCCTTTTGTTTAGCATTGTCATGTCGATCATTTATTGTGTGCCCACAGGCACTGTGTTAAACACATTACATAAATTCCTTCATTTAATACTCACGACAGCCTTATGAGATAGGTATTGTTCCAATTTACTGAGAAGGTTACGAAATTGCTTCACTTCATCCAGCTAACAAGACATGGCACAAAGTTTGAACTTAGTCTTCTTAATCTAGAGCCTCTGCTCTTAAGTCCATGACCTCTCATACCACACTGTTTGCTCTTGCTGGTATTGCAGTTTATTTGTGTTCTGTCTGTTTCCCTCTCCAGATAACAAGCATGTGTAAGTCATGCCTCAGTATGAGGGACAGGTGAATTATCGAACGGGTGAGGAGTTTTTTCCATTGCTTCTGCCCTTGTTCCCAGAGGCAAAGAGTCAGAGTAGTCAAGGTTGATTACTGGGAGGCCCCTTGAAGAAAAATTCCATAGACAGAGTTGGTAAAAAGAGCCAAGGATCATATAAATCTCAAAATAAACTTCTAGACTCTCCTATCATATCAATTCCTCCTCATTTAGGATGTTTTCATACGTATATTACAGTTTAGCTGACTAGAAGTCCTTCAGCTAGGGATTTAAAGAAGAAGCCACGTCTAGACTGGCAGGAGGGGTGGGGACACAGTATGGGCTGGTCCCTCACACATGTGTGGCAGATACAAATTGGGAGGGATATCTCAGCTGCAGAGGTCCCCTCTGAGGAGCAAGGGGTCCCAGCCCCACACCAGGCCCCCCAGCCCGTGGTTCCAGTACCAGGAAGAGAAGCCCCCATAACTCCTGGCTGTAAAAACTAGCAGGGATTGTGGCTGGGTGAGACAGAGGGCTTCT